GCAACAGTGACATACTTACCTGATTCTATGTCGCAAAATATTGTTCTTCTCTTTGTCATTATTTCTGAGCCTTTAGCTGCCCATTGTAAAATTTTTTCCTATTAATTCTAATATTTTCTTCACTCACACAGAGATTGCAAGTAACCCCACTACTAGAATTGCCATTATCTTTATTAGTAACACTGCAAATATCGTGTACAATTTTTTGGTATAACGAGCAGTTGTAAGTACATGTACTTTCGTTGCCACAAACACAGCATTCTGAAACAGTCTCTGCCGGATTTTCATGTATTATTATAGGCATTTCCTCGAGCATTTCTTCTGTAAATGTATCAATTTGCATTTCTTCCGTAAATGTATCAATTATTTGCACAACCTGTACTGTACTTTCAGTCATTTGCCTAAAAACGACTACGACCAATGCCATTTCCTAGGTAAATGACTATTAAATATTAATTATTTTCATTAAGTCATTTGCCCAGGCAGATAGCATTTGCCTAGACAAAAGCTATTTGCCTTGAATTACCATTTGCCTGCCACATATACATCTTGAATAATAGCAACTGAAGTAACATGTAAATGACAGTATTTATTTTAAAAACGAATAAAATCATCATATAGGATAATTACCCTGCAAAATATAGCACTTTCGGAAAGTGGAAATAATAAACTTTCAAATTGAGTAAAATATTTCTCAAAACACCAGAAAAGTTATTTTATAGTTCATTATCAAGTAGTCTTTGTAGAAGGACTGATTTATATACGAGAATTATGCTTTATTAAGTACGCATATGAAAAAGATAGCCAATGAAAAATTTTAGTTTTGCAATAGTAATATATTTCCATTGCGTAATTCTTGCTTTATTGGCATAACTTCTTGACAGAAGTTCTACGGCGTAATGGTTTGTTTTTTGGACAAGATCATCGAAGCTATCAGCAGCTATCAAATAAAAATAATCAATTGGTCGTGGACCTTTGGGTTTGATAAGGAGACCGAGCGTTCCAGTAAAAGGAATAGGAGTTTTGTTTAGCACTGTTTTGATCCATTTAGAAGTTATGTTACCTTGTTTCTGGAGGTCGGTTTCCACAACTTTCTTAGCTTGGGTAACTGTTGCTGCAACTTTAACAATAGGAGTTGGTGAAAGTTAAATGGGTGAAATCCACGACTGAGAGGGGCCTGCTTCATCTTCAGAATTGCTATTGCTTATGCTACCAAGCTCAAAATCAGCATCGCCATCACTTTCATTGAAAAAGGGGTCTTCTTCTTCAGACTCATCTAATAGTTAACGTACCTCTGCATCCTTTAAAATTCTATCTTTGTACGGTCATATTTAGCTCTCTTTTTGCAAGGTAAGCCCGTTCCCGACGACACAGGTTCCTGATCCATTATTTGCTGTAAATAAACAAAATAAGTAAAAAGAAAAATAAAAACAACAGTATATCTTACTATATTAAAGTGCCAATGTCTGTCTGTCCGTGCCACGATCTCGGGATAGAGAAAGCCAAAACCTTATCGGACTCCGATATAAGCTAGGGACACTTAAAGAAGCAAAATGACACCAAAATCATAGTACCTACTTTTCTGGTTCTCGATCCCGAGATATAGAATTCCGTCGAAAATTTAAATGAACGAAATCGCCTAGATGTCAAAGATTACAAATTACGGCCTACTATATTAAAGTGCCAATGTTTGTCTGTCTGTCAAATTACCGTTGTTAATCAAGACGCTCGGTCCCCGGGTTCTACCTAATACTGCTTGATTAAACATGCATGTGTTATGTGCCGCTCAACGCACCTGGCGCGGACTACAACCAAATAGGTACATAGTAAGTAAGTAAGTAAGTAAATTCTTTATTTAGCTAGTTATAAACAAATATTTACAATTTAAACTTAAAACTATAGGTTACCTAAACCTAGATAATTACTAATCATATTTTTAAAACTACCTAGAGTTGGGGCATCTTTTATATTTTTAGGCAACGCATTAAAAAGACGAATCCCTTCCTGCAATAATGAGCCCATCAAAAAAGATTTTTTGTGAAATCAATATTAAAATTGTCCATTGATCTGAGTGGACGTAAATGAAGTTCAGATCTTTTTACAAGTAGTGTACTAAGGTATTTCGGAGTTTTGTGATGTATCATCTTATATATTAGTATTAAATTCGACATTTTAATGCTTTGCTCAACTGTATAGACATTCAGCTGTTCATGCATTTCCCTGACCGAAGTGTAAATATTACAATTTAATATTATCCTTAAACATTTATTTTGTAACAGTTGCAATCTGTTGATGTTTTCTTTAGTAGCCGATAATAGTAATTCATTACAATAATTAAAATGTGGGCGTATTATTGTATTATAAATCAGAGATTTTGACCATTGCGACAAGTTACATGAAATCCTTCTAAAAAAACCAATTTTTTTACCTAATTTTTTACATAAGTAATTGGCATGATTATTAAAAGTTAATTGTTGGTCAATAATGACTCCTAAATATTTTATTTCCAGTACTTGTTCAATTGGTTCACCACCTATTTCTACTACTTGATCATGCGCATTAAGTTGTCTGCATTGTGCTTTTGATCCTAGGATCATATATTTTGTTTTTGCAGTATTTAATTTAAGCTTATTTACACACAGCCAGTCATACAAAATAGACAATTCTTCATTTAATATTTGAATTATTTCCTGAAAATCTCTACCAGATACTGAAATGAGCGTGTCGTCCGCGAAAAGGCTAATAAATGATCTTTTTAATCGTTTATGAATGTCATTTACATAAATAATAAATAAAAGTGGACCCAACACACTTCCTTGCGGTATCCCGTAGTGGCTTTATGTTTCACTAGATATATTATTTCCTATTTTAGTCTTATGATACCTATTAGACAAATACTCCCTAATTAAATTTAATGCTACCGAATGTACACCGTAATTTTGCAACTTTTTTAATAAAAAAATTCTATTTATTGTTTCAAAAGCCCTTTTAAGGTCAATAAAAAACACTAACAATAATATTATTTTCATTCATATCATTTCTCCATTTCGCACAAACAAATTGGAGAGCTGTTTCACAAGAATGTTGGTCTCTAAACCCTGACTGTCCCTCATACAAAATATGTCTAAATCATGAAAATTACGCAGTGGAACACAAACATAACATTTACTTTGTGTGTAAAAAGCAAAAGACTAATAGAATTACTTACCTTACTTTATCAAATACAATTGTTTCTACAAATAAACAAGCCATTCAGTGCGATGTAAACACATACGTATTGTTCATACCAATACGAAATGATCTAGCCATAAAAACCAATCAAAACATCTGTGCTGCTTAAACAACAAACAAGAGACATTACAAATATACAAATCAAACATACCACGAAGGTGCCAGGCGCGCTGATGGCACATGTCTAAAACTTCTCTTAACGCACGAGGCACGCTGACGATAGCGAATGTGTAATTCATACTTTAAATCTGTTCGTTTAAAGGCGGGTACAGATCTGAGCACGTACGCGTATGAGGCAAGCCGAGGACGCATGAGCATGCAGATGTGGACGAGCTTCCGAGGCGCGGCAAATTGCGCCGTGCGGCCTCACCCCGATCAGTTTGTTGGCGGTACATCAAAGGGAGGCAATGCGCAGTACGTGCTCAGTCTGGACGGGGAATTTGTGCCGAATGAATTATAGCCAGTTTTCAAGGCTTATTTTGAATGAAGTGGAGTCAGGAAAAGGTTTTGCTCTTCCTGTATGTATATAATGAGCGAAATATTTTATGGAGAGCAAGACAAAATAATAAAATAGGCACTCAACTACCAGACCTCCATTTTTGTTTTAATTTTACGAGTGTTCTGGGTGTACGGTTCCGTGCACGTGAATTCACTGGATCAGTAGCGAACAGTGCCTCGTGCGTCTACCATTCGTGTGTACAAAATGCGCCGCACGAGGCATTCGGTTCGGCCTCGGCTTGCCTCATACGCGTACGTGCTCAGATCTGTACCCGCCTTAAGAATATACTAAAAACTTTCGAATATAAACTAAAATTTGCAAAATTATAATAAATTTTCCATATACTTATTGAAATAAGAAGAAATTTAACTTGTAGCAACTGTTTACAACTTTTTATTCTTAAATTGGATATAAACTTATACATATAAAGTTTTCAAAAATTAATTTGAAGAAAATTTTCTGCAAATTTTTTTTTACAAGTATACAAAAATAAGATTGCTTCAAGTATAAAAATATAAATTGTCTCATAAAAAAGATTATTTTTAATTAAAATTTGTAAAGTTATAATAAATGTTCCATACATTTACGTAAAGTGTTTGTCTCAGATAAACAAATGAAATGTAGACAATAACGGTCTGGATTTGTTTAAAGCCGATATCTACCCTTTTTCCATTACTTTATCTTTCTCCTGGGTCTGTCAATATTTAAGAGACCAAAAATTACATAAGCGAAAATGCATCTGAAGCAGTTGAGGTATCTATAGTACGTATTTAGTAATAAAATATCATTAATTCCATTTGGTGACATACATGTTATCATTTAAATATAAATATAATTGTAGCCCATGTATAACTTCGGTTCCTATGGGATTTCCATATATTTCTTTGAAAATAGATACTCTTACCAATTTTATCTTTTCTTTTTTAGTTATATTTACCACTTTTGATTTTTTTTTCTCCTGGGCTCGTCTGACTATGTGTCTCAGAATAACACTGAAGCCTATTGGCTTATTGTGTACCACTTTTGATACTTTTATAATGTATTTTTGTTATTTATTTTATATTTGATTTTTATATTTAATTATTGTATTGTGTTTTTAAATTATTATATCCTTTGCGTTATTTGTATGTTTATACATTTTTGGATGAAGCTTTGAGTCATATAAAAAATTCTTATACGAAAGGTGCTTTTTTAATTTCACTTTTAATGTGATTCATCACAACGTCGGCAGTGCATTTAAATAAATCATTTTGGATTCTGTTTGAGGTACCTCGGAAAGTCGTCGAATCAATAAAATGATTTTTTAGGGTATCATCGTATTTTGCTAAAAAACTTAAAAGGTCCATGTAACTTTCTCGATTGGCGGATCCACTTGCTTCATTGTGACCCCTAAAACTTAGTTCATGCTCTCCCAGGAAACAAGTTACATCTATTAATCGTTGTAAGACGTCCATATTTTTTTTTACCCTTTCATTGTGAATTTTGTTGCTTATTTTTAAATGATTAACCAAACTATGTTCAATGTGATAGGTCCCGAATGTTTTTTCTTTAATTGTAGCACTTATACGAGATTTACTATTTACATGTCGTTTTACACTTTTGTGAAAATTGTTCAAGTGTGTAATACCGACTGAGTTCCAATGTGTTTTTCGGCTATATTAAAAAGTAGGTAAGGCCAACAAAACAATTTTTTCAAAGTTTTGCAGCCGGTTAACCATTCATACTTTTTATAGAACCCTATGTGACAATGCCTGGTAAATTTCTTTGTTGACTCTTCTACTTTCGTCTCTAAATTGATAGGATCCTTTAGTCTACTAGAATTAATAATGTCCGTTTTCTCTTCAAAATTTTTAGTTGAAAATCCTTTTTTCAACAAAGAGCACACAATACAGACACAATTTACCACATTATTATTGTTCACAGGCACAATGCATAGTTTCTCCATTTTACAAAAAGAAAAACAACTACGAAAAACAAACCTAAATCTACGATTTTCCTCACACGTCGATTCGTGGTGCGAATTGCAATATGCGTAAGGCGACGTAAAAATCGCTGCCTCTCGATCGTATTTCTCGTTTCTAAACGGACTGTCGATGTCGCCGCAAAACAGGGTCAATAACACGAAGCCAAACCTATTGGAAGATGAACCGGCTCTTTCAAGACGCGCTTCCGCCAACGGACTCGAAGTATAGGGTGTGTACGTTTACACAATTTATTTTCTCATGGGTGATGCGTGCGTTTACACATTACACCAATGAATTGTTAGTACATTTACGAAGTTTACGTAATGTTTCAGAGAAATATAGTACCTAATTTAATACTAATTTCTACGTATTTTAAACTGAAAAATATCTATTTTTAAATCTCAAAGTGTAGGGAAGCGGTGCTTCCCCCGCTTCCATGGACCGCACGCCCCTGAGAACTGGTGAGATCTTTGAGTACATCGGAAGCATTTCGTTTTCCAGCTTTCCGCAATTCTACTTGAGCAGCATGTATGATTACAGTTCATCAAATTTCTAGAGGCTTTCGACGGCTAGACAGAGAAAGCACTACTGACAGGCATCCCGACGGATTTACGCAATGAAAGTACACTCTGCGCATCAAGTATTTCACTATTTCATTCAGACGTAAATGTCAGATGTAAATTTCGCAAAAACATTTCTTTTATTTTCGTTTGTGTTTTTTGCTCATTACAGTTTAATAGAACCTAAGTATGGAGTTTAATAGCAAATTAAGAGGCCGCGTGATTAACAGTCAATCTCGCGAAATAATAGCCAATGTTATAGAGTTTATGAGAAGAGAAGGAAACTTTAATTCACCTTCAATACCATTTAAAAATGTAAATGATCGTGTTGCTGCAGCCACAGGAGTATCTAAAAACACTGTCGTCCGCATTTCTGGAGAGAAAAAAAGAATCGATAACCTTGAGATATCGGAATTTTCATCACCAAGAAAAACCATTAAAAAACCAAAAACAGTTAATGATATAGATGAAGCTGCACAAGAATCAAATTTTATTTTTTTATTATTAGATAGCTATTTTTGTTTCTGAGTTGTGTTCATTTACAGGCTCAATTTTTTTCCGTTTCTCCTTTTTGATTTTATATGGGGTTTCAAGTTGTTTTTGACTTATTTCGACGTAAATCACAACAACACACTTTTTTAATAAAGCAAACAAGTGTTAAGAGGTATATGTACGTGTAAACTACAATTACAAAAAATTGATATGAAACCCATGAAACCACCAACAAAAATGTAAAGCTAGCTTCCGTATTAGAACATGGTGTCATTCGTCGAGATAATTTATCGTTTTGTTTAATAGATCAAGAAATGTAAATATTCCCGTTATTTTTTATAAAATTATAAGAGAAATACATTTTTTTCTAAATAGTATAGTTTATTATTTTGTAGAAAAACAAAATTTCGAAAATTTTAGTAATGTTTCAGAAACAACCGTTATTAATAATAGGTACCATTTTCCTTAATAAGGTAGAAATAAAATATAAACTATTTCCACGATTTACAAAGGCCCACAAAAAAATTATAGGTATTTTCCGCTATCCTATAAATTTTATATTTTCTGACTCAATTTCAAAAGGTTGAAGGAATTCCAAAACACCTTTTATGGCATAATAATTATTTTCAATTCTACATACTAGCTGCTTTTAAAAACGTTCTAAGAAAGTCCAATCAGACCAATTTAATCCCTAAACTATTCCACACTTTTAAAATTTAATTACCTAAAAATATTAAAAACTATTTAAAATAACTTGTTTAGCAGACTGTACAATAGCTATCTTAGTCACACGTAGCGCGTTCTCTGTCTGGGCGTCGAACACCTCTAGAAATTTGATGAACTGTACTTCTTTATGTGAAATAGATCGAATCTACTCGGTTTTCTTTTTTTTTAGTTCGATTACTTGACTCTCCAAATGACTTACGTGGCCGGCCTGGCCGATTTTGTGTAACCACGGAAATCTCAAAAGTTCAGTTTATCCATGCATCATTGTATTTGTAAAATACGTCTTCCTTTTTATGTGTTTTCAACCATCTTTCTTTCACTTAAGACTTAAAGGATACGTAACTGCGTTTCAAACACTCAATTTGGTCTTCGGTGTATCCTTCGCACGACAAAAGTTGTTCTTTTAAGAAATCTAGTTTTTCTTCCAAACTAGGCAAATCTAGATTCTGCATGCGACAGAACAAATATTCACGGGTCACAATTATTACACCCGAGGTACTCTAAACAAAAATAAATTCTTAAAAAATGTATTTAACATCAATCATAATTTTTAGATTATTGTTCGTTACTTTATTAAAATCCATAATCATAACTAGGAGAAAAACCAAAAACTAACAATAGGGGTCAAAGCAATTAATGGAATTAAATTACTGTAAGAATGTGTTATCATTACTGGAATTATCTCACATAATACTAAGAACCACTTAAAAGATTAAGTAAAGGTGAATTATTGATTTCAAATTGATCATTATATTCATCCAAATTTTAACAATAATGGTTAAAGTAATTCAGTGGTTAATGAGTTTAAATTAGTGTAATGGTTTACCATTAACGAGATTATTGCACAGAATACTAAGAATCTGTTAAAAGAATTTGGTAAAGGTGAATTATTGATTTCTAATGGATCATTAGCAGATAATCTAAAATCTATATTCATTTCAAGTGTTTGTAGGTAGTGCCTTATTTTCTATATGTAATACTAAAAATTATCACTCAAAGACTGGTTTTCAGTAAAAATATGTTTCAAAAATGTATTAATTTTTATTTTTAATATAACTATTTTATTGTACAAAACACTTGGGAATCATATAAAAACTAAAGGCAAAATTAATTGTATAAAAATTAAATTTTGGTGGGTGTCAAAATATGTTATTGGTCAAACGGGCAGTATTTTCAAAAAGCGTCATCCGAGGCGTCATCTGAACATCGTAATAGTTATAATAACTTTATATTTGCCAATCATATTTTGGCTAAAAACCACTCTTTTAGCGATAATTTTGTAAGTTTACATCTAGAAAATAAGGGCACTAAAGTAAAAACTTCAAATAAATAATTTTAAAAAAATTCAGTTTATTTGCTAAATAACAGTCAATTAAAAATCCATAATTCACTTTCTTTTTGTAAAAAGCTACCATATTTTGATTTTTCCCCTAGTAATAGATGTTTTCGACAAAAAAAAAATGCGAAGTGCGGCTAATTTTTTGATTACTTACTACTCAAAGCTCTAACCTTTCGTATGTAATAAGAATTATAACGGATATACCTTTATCGTATAACTAATTCTTTATTGAACTAAAATCATCGGTCAAAAATATGCCATATAACTTGTAACTTTCAATACACTAAAACAATCTTAAAAATGATAAAAATTATAAAAAAAAAATATTACAGATAGTGTGTCATTACCTGCTATACTAGAATATATAACTTTTTCTTTAGAAAAAAAAATGTAAAGTAATAAATATTCACTGTTTAAATTAAGGTTTTCACTCGAACGCTTTCACATACACATATACCAACAGTCAAATTAAAACTGCCAGTGAAGAAGCGGGGTACTGTTATGGAAAACGTGAGGGGATGGATAATGTGCTCTAACTAGTCCCCTAATCCAGGTAGTCGTTTTTATTTAAAAATTTTGCATAAAATGGCCTTTTGGCAGATAATTAAAATACCCCTATGTGCGTCGCCTCGCCAATAGGATATTTCGCTATAATATCAGAATTCCGTTACGACTGGCAACATCGCACAGCTGAAATCGAGGTAGCAACAGAATCAGCTGTTTGTCAGCTGGTCGGCTAACCTCGTGGCCGATCGGCTCCCGGAATACCGGCTTTTAGACTGTCAGGCGGCTATCGAAATATGGAACCTCCTGATTGAAACAGTTGGACGCCGGCTTTTGCATTTGGGGGAGCGTGAACGGTGTGTGCGAGACCACTTTAAAACTAGAAAAACTCAGTCTTTCCTTCCTTCGCAATAATTCGAATGTGATATACAAGAAAAATAAATAGTGAGAGCTTTTAGGTTTTAATTAGATAGGACGAATTGTGATTTTTTCTGGCTGCGATAGTTTTATAGTTCGTTACACAATCATTGGTAAGTTTTCTTTGTTAGAAAAATGACATTCAAACCTACTTTATCCAGATATTTCAGTTAATTGAAATAGGTAGATAGTATATATAGCGGATAACAAATATTTTTAAAATCATAATGCTACTCTTTTGTTACAAAAAAAGATTGACGTTTCTTGAAAAAAATCAATTACCTATGTTGGTTAGGTATTTTTGTTTATTAGTTGCATACAAAATTATTCAAAATTGCTTTTGATAAGTAATAAATGTTTAAACAATAATAGTCTCCAATTATTTGCAAATTTAATAAATTATACAGGGTGTCCCATTATTATTCGATAAATCAATTAATCAATTTGTGTAA